TGCTTTACATTCCTATGGAAACTCGCATCACCCTAGCTAGCCTATCAAGTATTATGATGCAAAAATGATCATGGTACAATAAGAGATGAGAAACTTAACAAACTTTCTCAAGAGATTTATTACTTTATTAATCTATTCTCTTGACATTTTTATATTCATGCGTCTATTTATTTACATGTATCTATCTATCTATCAGTCAGGAAAATTTTTCCTCTGTTTTTTGAATATTAACTGCTGGCGCGACGAATAACTTAGTAAGTTGTACAGCGCTCATAACCAATTATTTGTGCATCGTGAAAATTTTTTCTGCTTCTTTCAGCAGCCACTTGGGTATGATACTAAGCTTTTCACGCTTGAAATCAGAAATTTTGTTTGTGGTGTTATGGGTAATTGTTGTTGTAAATGTAAGCTTCTAGAAATCTCTAGATACCAACATGCGTACCATAGAACTTTCTTGAACGTTTCATCAAGTCACGGAGTTATTATGTAGTACTACTAAAATAGTTCTTTTGTGAGCTTCTGGAATATTCCAGAACATTTTACGAACGTAACTATATTTAGTAGTAGAGTTAGTTGTTGTTGTTGTTGGAGTGATGACTCTTTAGAAAGCTATATTGAGAGAGAGCTATATGGAGAGAGAGCTACAGTAGGAGATTGTTAATATGAAGAAACGTTGAAGAAAACCGTGAGTTTGGGTCAGTGGTGACCTAAGATACAGACTGTAGTGGGCTTATTTAAGTTTTTTAACGATAAGTATTGTACTGCCTTTAGGAGATACTCTTTACTCTTTGTATAATAAAGAAGTCGAGTTTGTAGGATTGCAGTGTTTTTCTGTCGGTTAGATTATACCGTAACAGTGGGGTTGCATATTATGCTCATACCAAAAAAGCAGCAACATTTCTTGGAAAGCTGTTGTTGTAATCAGAGACTCGCTTGACCATCGGTTTGAAAAAGGTAGAAGGTGACAGTTCTCCTGGAAATATTAACAGTAATCTATAAAACCATAACCTTTGGTAACTGAGCTACCCTTGTGACTTGTATCAAATCAGCAGTTGCGCTAGAAACAATTAAAGCTGAAGACGAGAGCAGGACTTTTTTTTAAAGAGGTTTCGAAAGCATCGTTGACAAATAAAAAAAACTAAGTAATTCTTCAGTTGCAGGATACACTCTGCAATTTCCGAACAAAGGAATCAGTGATTATGTCAGCATCAAATGTGGTATGCCAAACCTGTCAGCTGTGACGGTTTGTCTGTGGATAAAAACCGATAGAAATACTAGAAATGAAGGAACACCCCTGAGCTATGCTGTACTGGGAGAAAGCAACGAGCTTCTTTTGATTGACTATAGAAATTTTGAGGTTTACATCAACGGCCATCGAAGGTTTGAGTAGTTCACCTGAAGTTTTGTCCTGTTATTAATCACAATAGTTGTTTTGATTTAATGTTGCTGTAAGCTTTAAGATACTAAAAGTACACTTCTCGCGTTTTGCTGCTAATTTTAGTGGTTATACTAATGTATCCGCCAATGATGGAGAGTGGCATCATATCTGCCTCACATGGGAGAATACCGCTGGATCATGGAAATTGTTTCGAGATGGTTCGGTTGTCGCTTCTGACAAAAGTCTCCAAACAGGTAAATTCTTCTTTTAGTAATGGTCCGTACAATAGTATTAATTGTTTAGTGTGTGTAACTGCTAATACGAGGCGGCCGAAATGACATAACCGCTAGGATTCCACAAAATTCGAAGATTGATTTGAATAAACGGAGTACGAAGTACACGTAGACTTAAAAGTAGTTATAGATAGACGTAGATAGACTTATACTCCATACAAAACAAAGCTTAAACATCTTTTAAAGCTGTTTCATTAAACACGGGCAGGGAAAAGGTTGTTTTCTTTAGAGAAGCTACCTAAACCAATGTTTGCTGTTGACTGTTGAATGTTGTCAACTACTTGAAACCAATGGTAAATTCAGTTTTTCAGTTCTCTGTTTCTGATTTTCATTCAGAAAAACCTGGTTTGCATTTACATTTTAACGGACACTGTAAACTAATCTCCCTGAGAGGAAACTGCGTAAATCATCGCGAACACTAACCGCAAATAATTGCGTTGTGAACTAAACTGTCTTGTGCGGAGAAAAAAAATTAGTGAAAAATTCCCGCCTGAATGCTCTATATGTGATTTGCAAGTAACGCTAATTACTGGTTTCAAACCACCCTAAGAAGCTGAAAAGACTAAGGATACTAGAAAAAGACTAAGGATACTAGAGAAACCGGGAAATACGCAAAACAAGGAAAATATATCTGACAAACTCTGACGAGGTAATGATCACTGATGCCAAAAAAGAAATACTTGAAAAACATGCAAAAATCTTGACAAAAATGCACGTAACTGTGATGGTAAAGTTACTTAATAAACGATTGTGAAATTTATCACTTAAATGCCACAATGTACGTTATGTTAGTCACTTAAGGATAAAGTGCGTAGTTCCCAAAAACTAATGCGGAGATTGGAACAAACAGAGCGACATGACTCACTTATTCGGTAAATTATCGATTAAGAAAACTAAAAAAAGGAAAGAATGTACTCACTTTCCAGTCTTTTTATCATTTCCTCCAGATATTTTCTTAATCAAACCAAAATATATAGGTGAATCTTTTTTTAAATGGTGAATTTATCTTTTTCTTTAATTTCTTGTCAATGTCCCCACAGGTCACATGATTCGTGCAAATGGAGTCCTGGTATTAGGGCAAGAGCAAGACTCGGGAGGAAGGTTTGATGTCAATCAATGTTTTATCGGTGAAATGACAGGTGTCAACATCTGGGATCACGTTCTCAAAGATCAAGAAATTGCACACATGTCAAAGTCGTGCTTGACAGGAGTGGGCAACGTGTTGCAGTGGCGTAAATTCAAAGCTCACATCGTGGGCTCAGTGAGGATAATTAAGCCATCGTGCTGAAGTAAAAACATCCGTGATATGATTTGTGAACATTGTGAAGGATGTTACATTAAAAACAAACTTTGAAAACTCTCTGTTGATAATCTGATGTGTGCCCTCATCTTTTATTTTTTCATCCTACCGATGAGTGTGGAAAGTAACTCGGGAATGTTTTGATTTGGTTTTCCTATCAACTGATGAGATGCAAAACTAAAACCATCCGCACCGTGGAGACGTATTTTCTCGTGCCATAGACAATTTGCCTGTTTTACCGTCTCCTTTTATGTTTGTGTTGGTTTTTTAATATCATCCTTGTTGTCGCCAGTTGAAAAGTTGCAAAGTTGCAAAATGCAAACTTCCGAACGCATGATAAAGATATTGCACACTCCCTATTTGGCCATTTTGCCGACTTCCCTTGGATAAAATAACAAATAACTTGCTCAATTTTTGTTATGAAAATGAGCTTACTTAGATTGTGATTCTCTGTGATATACTTCAATGATTTTGCTTTTAATTACGCAATAAAGCACCATTATCATTGCATACATCAGCGACAGCAATAGTATTGAGGTTAAAAGTTTTGACCCTTATTATGCGCATGGGTAAGGTAGCGCATGGTGATCCTTTTTAATGTGGAAAGAAGACATTTAGATCGTTCTCTTTTTTAATATTAATTGGAAACTTCTGGTGCGTTACGTTTCCATGTTTCGCCCTAATAACATGGATTAGCCTTTAATTAGCTCTATTTGTCAAATGTTTTGAGCCTCTTTTTATACATGATGCTATAATGTTGTAATTTTGACATATTCTTAACTATACTTATGATTTCCTTGTTAACATATTGTAAAGTTACACGTTTGTTGTTTCTGATTTATCAAAGACAGATTATTATTATTATTACTATTATTATTATTACTATTATTGTTAACATATTGTAAATCAAGGTGACCCCTACGGGTGCTATAGTTCGGCACAATCTTATAAAATGAACTCGAATATATTGGCTATTTCCTAAAAAATAGTGAAGCTGCCCCTAAATGCTATCGATTATCTAATACTTTAGTAATTTTGGAGGGTAGGAGCATGAATATCGTGGATATTACATTTCACGACGCCTCTGTTCGCATCTAATTTATTTGAACAACGCGTGACTGCCGTAACGGGTTCAAAACACACTTCAAGTTTAAAATATAGGCCGTGCTGAGGTTTTTTAACTTAAAGTCTTAATTTACGGGAGCACTGGGTTTCGTTGCAACCCCAAATTAATGTGATTAACTTTAAAATGACTAAAAAATATACAAACAATCCTGTTCGTTTCTTTTCGTGACTGATGTGAGGCAAAAGACACAGCTTTTTACAGTTCTATCTTAATTCCAGTTGGATTCAAACGATAGAACAGTTTGTGAATATAGCCTGTAATAACTCATTTTAGGCCTTCCCCTTTTATCTCTGGCTCAGCAGATAATAAAAAGGTTATGAATTACAGATGTCGGATTTAAGTAAAAGCAGTCTTGTACAGGGAATCATCGCAACAAGAGTTCTGCTTGTTGGTGGATAACTGACAAAAACGTACAGTCGAACTGTATTAAGCAGCACTGTATGAAGCGGTCACCCTGTATTAAGTGGTCGGTTTTTAAAGTTCCGAAAGTTTTGTTTGCCTCTTTGTGTCATTTTCACCTCTATTAGGCGGTCACCCAATTTTGATATGAATAAATCGCACAGATTTCAACATGTGAATTTCCGTCAAATATTTCTGTAAAACAAAGATAGATACAATTTAGGTACAATTTGCGACAACTTTTTGCACATATTTGGGGCATTCCAATAAAAGGCTTACAAAATGAAATTAAGATTGAACGACTTCAAAGAATCTAAAAGTTAAAACAAAAGGAAAATACAAAACTATACAATGTCTTAGTAATTGGGGGATGGATCCTCGTGCAGAAAATTAAGTCGTAAAATCTGTTAACTCTATACTAACCTTATGGCCGGCGCTGACCACGTGTCGATTAACAGCAAAGTGACGATGAACAAACTACAAAAGATAAGTTATAAAGGCTAGAGCAGGTATGAGTATCTTAGAAAAGTCTGGTTTACTCGCCAAAATAAACTTTCCTGGCCACTCGAGTCCCTCCTTAAAACGCGACAGTTAACAAAGCACATTGACCTCTACAACCTTTGCCTCTTCTATTCCGAATATCCCTTTGTTTACCTCAGGAGTTTGCTCACCAAATAAGGATTTCCGACTTAACACGACAGATCTCATGACTAAATATCCACGTGGCTTCGCCACGTTACTGGCTACACATTCTTGCAAAATTTGTGTTACGCGATGATCGCTTACCTTATGTAGCTTGACACGTACTGTAAACTTCACAAAAAACCATTAAGGCATTATGTCATTTGTTGACACTGAATCTCTTACCGTTTTTGCAAGGTGTCTAGGTGTTACGCACTAGACACAAAAATGACGAAATATTCATTTCAGTTTTTATACCTGCACGTGATTCAACTCTTTCCCTGAATGGTCCAATTCTTAGAAAACATCCATCACGTGCTTTCGGTATGGTTTCTCGAAATGGTTCGATGATGAAAGACATATACAACCGCTGCAGCTAGAATTCGGGGATAAATTCCATTTTGAACACGAGATCTGCCGTTGAATCTTGACCTTGCAGGTGAAAGCTTGTAATTATTTTGTCATTTCACTCGGGAATCAGTACCTCAGGTTGGTTTTGAATTTTCCTTGCGTTATTTGCAAAATATTTAATTAAGTTGGCTTTGCTGTCCTTGATTCACAGTTAAATGTTTAATATTATGTTTTATTATGTTTTTTGCAACTCTTAAGAAACTGTCTTAGTAGGGGAACTATTCGCAAAAACAGTATGTTAGTATCGTATTCAGTTCTCTAGCTTTTTTCTAAATCGAATGCAATCAGCGACATTAGAGGATTTTGGCGGAATGACTTGCCAATGAAGATTTTAGCCAACTTGGATCGTCTGTGATACGTTACTCAAACTTCTGTATTACCAATATGAAGCTGGCGAGTGCCGTGTCAGTATAAAGGGCTCTTGGCCGCATAGTGCCGGTAATTTGATACGTTAATCTTTTATAACAGTCTATAGAATAACTGATTCCTTTTCAAATCAACTTCCGATTAGGAGAAAAAAGGAAAAAAATCAGCGACAACAACACCTTAGCCTGTGAACAGCCGCCCCCTGCACTAGAAAAAACAGTATCAAAACTCCAAGCCTGTTAACAAGGGAGAATTTCGGATTTTGA